TGCAGGGACCTCTACACGTGGGAGCCCCCTGTGCCCTACCATTCTCCAACCCCTCCTCTGCTGCTGCCTCTTCCGTTGGCCTCTGCCTCCACCTTCCTCCAGCTCCCGAGGACACAGGACAGCTGGTGGGACCAGAGCCAGCTCCCCCTTCACGAACTTCTCAGTCTCTGCCAGAAAGTCCCTCAGAGCCCCATTATTTGGCTAGAACTGAAGGGGGGGCACCTCCCCCCATCCTCAGGAAGGGAAAGATGCACCCAAGGAGGTAGCCCTTCCCTCCAATAAATCCTCTCGAAGAATTCAAAGAACTCTCTTGAACACCTAATTCCTGTTTTCTAGACCAGCTCAGGTAGTGGAGAAAGGAGTCGTGGGTTAGGTCCCGTCTTCTGGTGACAGGCCCTAGATGGGCCAGACACCTGACAGCTCTGTGGCACTCCTTGACCTTGCTGACTCGGGTCACACACTTCACTGGGCTGTGGGGCTCTGGACAACAGGAGCACCGTTCTCACCAGGACATGACCAGGCTTATGTCTGGAGGTCAGGTTCATATGTGGGAAATGGATTGGAGCAGCCAGAGGGGTGAATGCTGGTTGGGCCTGGCCAGAGGGGTCGAGGCCTTGTCCCTGGAGACAGAAGCCCACCTGAGCCGCTCAGACAAGCGGAGGGTAGGAGGTGGCAGAAGGGAAAGCTACAGTTCTGTTTGCCTTGGGATTCGAGGGTCCCAGGGCCCTGTAAGTGGCTCCTGGCCAGTCACTGGCCTTTATGAGCAATGCTGGCCAGTCACTGGCCTTTATGAGGCCTAGGAGTCCTGGCCCTCTGGCTCTATTCAACCCTCTCTCACCACTTTCCCAGCCCCCCCGTCTTTTCAGGGATGCTGAATACTCTGGGACCCAATCTCCAAAAGGCATCATGACCCCTCTGGGGGTCCAGGCACCAGGACGTGGGCCTAGCAGGTCACACCTGACCTCACCGTGCCCGCAGCTGGGAGGGAGGTGGACGGGCTGCTGGATGGGAAGCGGGGGCCAGCCCGGCAGTTCCCGTCTGTCCTCTAGCCTTCCCTGCAGAGGAAGTGCCGGGGGCTCCACGCCAGATTCCCACCTGCCACCCGCACCCCATGAGTGACCCCGGCATTCCCTCCCCAGCCCTCCTCAGGCCCAGAGGGCTCAGCAGGGAACCGAATCCTTTTTGGACTCTGTGTGAGAGGAAGAGGAAATAGAGGCCCGTCGCGGGGCGGGGGGGGCGGGGGGGGCGGATCTAGCGCTGGCCCTGCGGGCTGAGGGGGGTGCCGGTTAAACGGACCCTCCTGGCAGGGTGCCCTTCACCTCCTGATCTTGGCATGGTGGTGGAACCATACCAAGGACCCTGGTCTTATCCAGAGGCCTCCTTGAGGCCACCAGAGTTAAGGCCTGCGTGGCCACCCCTTCCCGTCTTTCATCCCTCACCCCATGTCGGATCTAGCGCTGGCCCTGCGGGTTGAGGGGGGTGCAGGTTAAACGGACCCTCCTGGCAGGGTGCCCTTCACCTCCTGATCTTGGCATGGTGGTGGAACCATACCAAGGACCCTGGTCTTATCCAGAGGCCTCCTTGAGGCCACCAGAGTTAAGGCCTGCGTGGCCACCCCTTCCCGTCTTTCATCCCTCACCCCATGTGTGTTTGCTGCCCCCCGCTTTCCGCCTGGGCCACCACGATCAACAGGGCTGCGATGACAACGATTTCGTAGTCCTGGTAATCAGAACATGATAGTTACAATAACGGCCATGCCAACTGACTGCGCGGCTCCGCAGGCATCACCCCGGGAGTTCTCCAGATGCCTCGTGAGAGGCTCAGAGCAATGGCCAGCTCACACAAGCTCCGCCAGCCAGGAAGTGGCCGGGACAGATGTCAGCCCAGGCCTGACCAACCCCCAGAGCACATGTGCCTGTCCCCTCCCTCACTATCCTGCCTCTCCAGTTACCCTATCTGGTGGGGAAGGGTGGGGCCCCAGGGTGGGCGCCTTCTCTTCTCTCAGGCCCCCAGAAGGTGTGGCCTTGAACCCAGGCTTGTTCAAACCATAGGCGTGAAAGAGGGAGCAGGAGCACTGTCCACGTCTTCACCCTCATCCCTACAGCCAGGTTGTGTGCCCAGCAGGTCACGGGGGTCCTCACACCCCGACAGGGCCCCAGGAGGCAGCCCACCGCTGTATCTCTCATGCAGGAGGAAATAGAGGCTGCGAGAGGCCCCGGCCTGTGAGAGGAAGGTCTGAGCTAGGTGCGCCTGAGTCCAAGGGCCGTGCTTATCACCACGCCGCAGGCGTCTGCTCATGCGCAGAGGGGGCCCCTGGACCCCAGCCCCACAGCACCCACCCCGGCAGGGCCCTGGAGCAGCGTCCCTGGGGGGTTTCAGCAGCTCCTGCCTGGTCTGGCAGGTGGTCACAAGGTGAGGGGAGGCTGGGAACACCGACCAGTGCCCCATGCCTTTCACAACCCGACCGATGGCGCCATGGAGCAGGAAGGGTGAGGAGAGGCCACAGGAAGCTGTGACGCTTCAGCAGAGGCTGGGGGCAGGCGGGCTCTGCGGAGCCTGGGACCAGAGCACACACAGCTGCAGAGCTCTCGCCAGCGTGGGCAAGGCCGGCCAAGGATGGCGACCCCCAGGGCACTGGGGGTCCTGCTTCTCGTGCTCCTCCTGCTCCTGGGCTCAGGTGAGCAACAGCCTCCTCATCTGCTCCTGCCAAGCCTGGGAGGCCCAGGGACAAGGAGGGGGTAGGGAGTGGGGGTGTCTGGAGCATGTCCTCCGAGGAGCCCACCCCAAAGGTCTCAGCGCCTTCTCTAACCTTGTCCTTGAGTTAGATGTTGTCCTGACAAGCTTCCTTGGTGCTGGGCCTCAGATCTCCTTGCTCCCCCACAGTGCCCTGGAGATGAGGGGAGCATGGAGAATGCTCCCCATTTTTTTACCCTGGGCTGTGGCTCCCCAATAGGCCTGGCCTGGGATACAGGTGGGCCCCGAACAAGCTCTTCTCCAGTTGGCCTCTGAGCTCTTGAAGGAGGGGCTGGACACTCTAGTGCAGGGGTCCCCAACCCCCGGGCCGCTGACCACAGCAGGAGGTGAGCGGTGGGCAGGCGAGTGAGCCAGTGAAGCTCCATCTGTCTGCAGCCGCTCCCCAGCGCTGGCATCACTGCCTTAGCTCCACCTCAGATCATCAGGCATTAGATTCTCATAGGAGCATCGGTCCCTGGTGCCAAAAAGGTTGGGGACCACTGATCTAGAGGCTGAGCCCAAGTAGGGCTCACTCCGCCCTCCCCCAAGCCCCTTGTCCGGCTCCCTCCACCTGCACCACCCACCAGCTCCCCGCTCCTCACTGCTCCATCTCGATGCCCTGCCAGCTCCTCGGTGAGCAGCCTGCGTGCCCCCCATGTGTCTGTCCCGTGTGGGGTCGTGTGGCTTTGGGCACATGGATTAACCTCTTTGGGTCTCAAAGAACCCTCTTGTTTTCAAATGTTGAGAGATTCTGTGAAGTGCCAAGTTTAGTTAGTCCCTGGCTCAAGAAAAGGATGCGAGGTGTCCGTGCTGTCCTGCTGGTGGCTGGGGAGGGTCTGGTGCAGAGCTGGCCTCAGGCAACAGCGGATTAATTAACCTAACAACCAGCAGTGGCTGTCATAGGTCTCACTGGGCATCAGAAGGCCCCTGGGCCCTTCGCAAAGCCATAATTCACTGGCTGGGCTCCCCCAGGGGGCCGCACTTGCCCTGTGGTGATGGGGGAGCTCCAGTTCAGGCAGTGTCAGCCTTCGAGTAGTGAGGGGACTCCGTCCTTTGTTGATATTTATGGGTGAGTTGCCCATTTTCTCATTCATTCATTCATTCATTCATTCATTCAAGAAGCACTGATGGTACCCTCTACGCAGTGCCAGGCCCTGTGCTGGTACACCACATGGTCCCTGCTCTCCATGGGCTCACTGGTCTAGCAAAGTGACAGGGGCTTCAAAGGAGTCAAGGACGTGGTGGGGGGCCAGCAAGAGGCAGACATACGCTAATAACGTAGGGGAGCCACGAAGGGGTGTTACAGGCCAGGGCTGGCACAGGGAGGCAAGGCTGTGGCTTGAGCAGAGAAAAGTGGGCCCATCCGTGGTGAGCCCTAGGGAGGGGCTATAGGGGCGCCACAAGTTCTGCCCTGCCCCCCTGCTGCCCGCTGACCTCTGGCCAGCCCCCCATTTAAATCTAGATCAAGGTGGTCCTCAGAGGCCAGACTCTGGGGCAGAGCAGAATGGACAAGCGTAGGGCAGGTCTGCAGGGATGAGGTGTCACCGTGGCACCCGGGCCTGGTTCAGGGTCTCCCTGTCTGGGCTAAATGCTTCCAACGCCTTCCAAAAATAACCACAGAAAAAGGTATTTCATAATAATCTCTACACTAGGTGCTTGTCATCAGCTTCACACACACGACTGCGCTAACATTTACAGCCGGCCAGGGGGAGGCTCTGCTAACAGCCACCACGGTGCCACCTGCGTTCAGCACCCTTTCGAAACCCCTGGGATTGCACAGCGTGTGGTGCCTCTCCCCCGGCTGAGGAGTCCCTCCATTCCCATCCCCTCCCCTCCCCTCCCCTCCCCTCCTCTCCTTCTGTCCCCTCCCCACTTTAGCTCTTTCACACGTTTTCTTTCTCTCTTTCTCTCCCTCTTCCTTTTGTATTTAAAAAGCAAATGTGGATCGTATTATACACAGGCTCATCTATCACGTGCTTTTTTTTTTTTCCATTAAACAAAGTATCATGAGTATCTTTAGAACCTAACAGAAATTTAAAGTTCCTTTATAAGCTCCTTAAGACATCTTTGCACCCAGATCTGATCATTATCAAAACCCACTCTAAAATGTCACCTTTTTTTTTAACCCTGCATTCTGGCAAATGGCCACACTCTGGAGCCCAAGATCCACCCCCACCCCCACCACCTTCATCCTTGCTGCCCGCTTCCCGCCCAGTCCATTCACATTCTCTGCATCCCTCCCTTAGATCAGAAAAATCCCACGAGCATACGTGAGAGCTCTGAGCCATCGAGAAACGTCTGCCTGGGGCTCGTCAACATGGACCTGTACCAAACCTTCTACCTCACGAACACCGCGAAGTGCTTCACAAAGTGCAGGCAGTCGAAGGACAAATCCTGTGATCTGGGAAACTTGCAGAGGTAGGAGACCCTCTGAGCTGGAGCAGCCACCGGAGGCTCCTGTGAGGGCGAAGGGGAGGGGGGGGGGATGGAGCTATCAGCCCCCATGACCCCCCGAAAATTCTGTTCCCATCTCACTCCTCCACCCTGTTGTCTGACACCCATTTTCTCCCCATTCCACTCACTGAGACCCCTCTGATCCAGTGGATAGAGAGAGAAATCAGCCCCTGTCCTGCCGTTGGGAGTTGTGAAGGGACAGACACAGGCCCAAAGGACGATGACTCTAGAGCGTGGTCATATAGAAGAAGAGACTGGGTACTAGTTTAGCTCAAAGGAGAAAAGTCAGCCAAGGCTTCACAAAAGAGGGAGCCCATGAAAGTGTTTTTCAGGATGCACAGGAGTTTTCTCGTTAGACACAGGCAACGACAGGAGATTCAGGCAGCAGAACTTCAGTATTGGGAAAGAACTACAGTGCTTTGAACTGTACGAGAGTAAAGTGCTGGGGATGAAGGCAACACCAGGAAGGGGAGGTGGATGGCGGATAGAACCGGAAATACAAGCAGGGACCAAAGTGTGAAGGGTGGTGTAAGCCGTGTCAATGCGGGAGTCGGCAGGGAAACGATCTATTTTAAGTAGAGGCAGAGTGTAGTCGACTTGCATTTTGAAAAGACTGCTCGGGCTTCAGGGAAGGATGCACAAGGGTGGTGATGCAGGATGAGACGTGACCAGGTAGGATGCAAGTGCAGTAGTCTGGGTAAGAATGAGGGCTGAATCACCAGCACCACCACCAACGTTCACTATGTGCCTAGAAAGGAGGGATGGATTCGAGAAACTGTATGGTGTACAACCAATAAGACCAAGAGACTGATAAGCTCAAGAGAACCAAGAGATATTGGATTGAGGGAGAGGAAAGGGTTTAAAATACATCTCCACGAATCATATCCAAAAATATCTTTGCCTCTCTCTCCTCCACTCCCTTCCAATCAAAACTGCCCGTAACTCTTCTGAAATACTCAGGACAGAGTCCTAGTTGTCACTCAATCCATATTTGTTGAAAAAAAGAAATGAAAACCTGCATTCCTAGGCTGGGTGTTAGGACAGCAATCTGATTGAGCTATGTCATTTCGGTGGCCTGAAAATGCTCCCACCCCCACCTGCAGCTGCTCCAGGAGCCTCTTAGCCCCAAGAAGCTGTTCAGGGGGCTCCTCTTTGTGCATTATCTCATTATCAGCATTGCCATTTTACTACTATTCCAAAGCCTTTGTCCTTGACTTCTCTCCTATACCTCTCTCATGGGGCTGTTGTTGAGATTCAATGAGATCGTGCATGTAAGACGTATTGGAAAACAGTAAGAACTCAATAAATTCGAGCGTTCTTTATTTTAGTAACTTTTTTTCTGGTGATAAAAATATTACATATTCGTCATTAAATATTTGAAAAATAGATATGGAAAATGAAAAATTCCCCTTCTTACTCTCCGGAGATAACCATTATTTTCATTTTGGTGTATTTCTTTTCAGTCCTTTATGATACACATGTATTATATAAAACACAACTCATTTATCCATTTTATGTTGATGGATATTTGGATGGTCTTCACTTTCTGGCTTATAGTGCTGCTACGAACATTCTCGTTCGTGTATTTTGTGAACATGTTTTTCTGTATGGAGTCTTGCCAGGAGTCGAGCTGGTGAGTCACAGGGTGTGTGATTCGCTTTAGTAGAAACTGCAAGTTTTCCAAAGAGCCTGAACCAAATTTCATTCCCACAATCAGTAGGCAATAGTTCTAGTTGCTTACCATCCTTGTCAACACTTAGTAGTGCCCGCTTTTTTCTTTTAAGCCGGTCTGGCACGTTTGTACTGTAGCATACAGTGATATTTTAATTACATTTCCCTGATGTCCACTGAAGTTTAACATCTTTCTTAAATTTATTGGACATTCTGATATTCTCTCTGTGAAGCGCCTTTTTAAGTCTTTTGCTTGTTTGTTCTATGGGGTTGTTTGAATTTTTCTTAGTGATTTTTAGGGTTTTTTTTTTTGGTATATTCTGGATACATGTCTTTGTTAACATAAACACACGAATCTAATTTCCCTCACTACGGGCTGCCTCTTCATTCTCTTAGCTCTGTCTTTTGACTAAGGACAGACTTTCTTAATATTAATGCAGTGTAATATATCAGAATTTTACTTTAGAGTGAATGCTTTCAGGTCCTGTTTAAGAAATTTTGCCCATGACAAGATCATGAAGATAGTCCTCTACGTTTTCTGCTCAAAACTTTATTGTTCTATCAGTCACCTTTATCTCTATGATCCATCAAAAGAAAGTAAAAGACTGTAGAAAACTCTGCTCTGCTTTTCAGAATTTTGGGCTTAGCTAGTGCCTTTCAGACTACACAGTTTTAGAATTCTGAAAAAAATATCTGGGGAAGAAATCAGCTGTATATTTGAGGCCTCTGCAGTGCTTAGGTTAGTTTCTTCACTCCCGACCACCATCACTGAGACCAACAAATATCCTGCGGCTACTTTACAAAGTGCCCTGTGCCTGCTTGCAATCCAGCCCTGTTCCCATACCTGGCCGCAGTCAACCACGGATTTGCTTTCTACTCTGTAGATTTGCCTCTTCTAGGACTTTTATAGAAATGGCACCATCTGACGTGTTGTCTTTTGAGTCTGGCTTTTTTCATGTAGCATGGTTTTGAGGTTCATGCATATTGTGACCAGCAGGGATGTCTTAGTCAATTTGGGCTATAATAACTAAGCATCATGGACTGGGTAGCTTATAAACACAGAAATTTATTTCCCACCATTCTGTAGTCTAGAGACTCAAGATGAGGGTTGGGCTCTGGTGAGGACCCTTCCTGGTTACAGACTGCAGACTTCTCATTGTATCCTCACATAAAAGAGAGAAGGATGAGAGAGCTATCTGAGCTCTCTTTCATAAGAGTATTAATGCCATTCATGAGACTGTCACCCTTATGACCTAATCACCTCCCAAAGACCCCACCTCCTAACACCATCACCTTGAGAATTAAGATTCTGACATATGATTTCTGGGGAGACACAAACATGCAGTTCATAACAGGGGCTATTATGAATAAAACTGCCATGAACCTTTTTGTACATGTATTTTCATGGATATATACACTCATTTCTCTCGGGCAAAGACCTAGAAGTGGATTTGCTGTTAAAAGTGGGCAAATGATAAATTTTAGTAAGCATTGCCATGGTTTTCTATGGTCACCATATCAATTTACGCCCCCACCAGCAATGTGTGAGAGTTCCAGTTACCCCACATCCTTGCGATACTTGGTATTATCAGTCTTTTTAATTTTAGCCATTCTGGAAAGTATATAATGGTATCTTGTTTGTTTTTATTCATTCTGATAGCACCATTAAGGAATGACGCATATACCATACAATCTACACATTGCTAGAGTATAGTTCAGTAATTTGTAGTGTATTTATGCGGTGTGTGGAACCATATTTACAATCAGTTTAGAACAATTCCCACCACACCCTCTTGCCTGCCTGCAAACAGTCCTCACTCATACCTGGCCATAATCAACCACTGATCTGCTTTTTACTCTATAGACTTGCTTTTTCTGGGCATTTTATATAAGAAAACCATATAATATGCTGTCTTTTGAATCTGGCTTCCTTCGCTTGTCATAGTGTTTTTGGTATTCATTCGTATTTTAACACATATCCATAATTTTTTTTATTGCTGAGTAATATTCCATCAGGCGGATATACTGTAGTTTGTTTATTTATTCACCAATTGATGGACATTTGGGTTGTTTCCAGTTTGGGGTTATTACGAGTAATGTTGTCATGAACATTAGAATTCAAGTATTTTGAAAACTTTTATTTCTTTTGGGTGGATATTTAGGAAAGGAATTGCTGGGATATATGGAAAGGATGTGTTTAGCTTTATAAAAAACTATTTCTCATTTGTTTTTTCATCAGCAGTATAAGAGAACTGGTTTCAACACATACTTACAATATTGTCATTTTTTGGTGACAGCCATTCCAGTGAGTGTGAAGTGGTATGTCACTATGGTTTTAACTTGCTTTTCACAAATGACTAATGATATTGAGCATCTTGTTTTGTGCTTATTAGCCATTTGTATATTTTATCTGGTGAAATTCCTACTCAAATCTTTCCCTCTTTTTTTTTAAAAAAATGGGTTATCTTCTTATTATTGAGTTTTAAGGATTCTTTATATATTTAGGGTACAAGTCTTTTACCAGATGTATGAGTTGCGAAGATTTTCTCCCAGTGTATGCCTTGTCTTTTCATTTTCTTAATGATTCCTTCTGAATATCAAAAGCATTTAATTTTGACGAAGTCTAATTTAAATTTGTTTGTGTCTTTGACATCATGTGAAAGGAATTTCATCTAGCCCAAGGCTACAAAGATTCTCCTAAGTTTTCTTCTACAAAGATCTGGTTTTCGCTGTTATAATTAGGTTATGCATTTGGAGTTAAATTTTTGTGCACAGTGTGAGATAAATGCTTAACTTTATGTTATTATTACTACTATTTTTGCATTTGGATATCTAATTGTTTCAGCACTATTTGTTGAAAAGACTATGATTTCTCCATCGAATTGCCTTTGGGAGGGCATTCCATTGAAGGGCTAAATGGAAGCTTCTGGAATGTCTTCTCCCTATCAAGATAGTAACCCAGAAACAAAACTGTATCCCTGCAGAGATTAATACCACCATAAACATTTTTAAAGAAGAATGTTAGTGATACCCATCCCAACTCCATTTAACCCAGAAGAAGTCAGGTGGATCTTGGAGAATGACCGTGGGCTATCATAAACGTAATCACGCGGTATGTCCAGTTGCAGCTGCTGTCCCAGATGAGTAAATTTACTTGAACAAATCAACACAGCCCCTGGCAATTGGTATGCAGCTATTATATCGCTAAGACCTTTTTCTTCATAAAAATTTTCAAGGACTGCCAGAAGCAATTTATTTTTACTTGGCAGAACCAGCAGTGTTTCCTTGCAGCTATGTCAATTCTCCTCATCTTTGTCATAATATAGTTCACAGGGGTCTTATTAATCTTGACATTCTATAAAGCATCATGAGTCCACTATATTGACACGATGCTGATTAAATTTGATGAGCAGAAAGTGGCAAGCACTTAAGATGCCTTAGGAAGATATATGTGAACTAGAGAATAGGAGATAAGCCCCCAAAGAATTCAGGAGCCCATAACCTTGAATTTTCTGGGAATTCAGAGGTCTGGGGAACGTCAAGATATCCTCTCCAAGGTAAAAGACAAGTTGTCGAACCTCACATCACTTCCCATTAAAGAACAGGCACAATGTGGAAAGATGTGTGCTTTGCAAACATGAGCCAAAAGAAATCTGAGTAGTTGTATTAGTATCGAACAAAGAGGATGATGCTTAAATAGGTGTCAATGTTGTCATGAAAAATTCAACTGTGTATCTATGCTTTAGACTTTTTGAATACGTGTCATATTTCACAACTGAAATAATTTCTAAAAGTGCTCTGAGAACCAGATCAGGAAACTTTCTCTCAAGAAAGTGAATTGGGCTGTCTTATGAGGCCAAAGAATTTTTGTTAAGTGCACAAGGTGGTACACACACACACACACACACACACACACACAAACACAAACACAGGGATATATATATACATATGTGTGTGTGTATATATATATACACAGAGATATATACATATATACACACATACATATACATACACATGTAGAATTCACTATTTTATTTGGTAACAATGACAATCACAATACTTCTTTATTTAGATTTTTAAAAGGTAAATAAAAGCTAGAATCAATTGATGTAACTCAATCAATGGATTTGGACAATCTCATCCCACGGTTTCTGGTTGGATGGTTCTAACTGCCTGCCCAGCCAAGTGCATTTGCACATATTTGCACGGCCTTCTCTTCATATGGTACAACATTTTTTCTTTGGTTTCTTTGGGTTCCCCTCTCTTGGTAACCGTGACTATCCAAAAACGATGTCAAAATAAAAGCCTCCTTTCGCCTCTCTGCCACGCCCTCCATAGCGACTCCTTTCCAACACACTTGATCTAGCTATATCTACTTTTGTTCCCTTTTCCTGTCCATTGCTATCTCTGCCCCCACCTGGGCAGCAGGTCTTAGGATCGCAGGCTTAGGAAAAGGAATGCTGGAGCGCAGTGAAGTTTCAGTACCACGGAGAGAGCCAAGGGCTTGTCTCACCCTACTATTTCAGCTGAAGCAAGGGGACTGCAGTAAAATAAATGCCAATAACTTTTATGTTCTGCGTGGTTCCAACAACAGTTCAGTTCCCATAAGTCGGTTCCCATACAGCTCGGTCTCCAAAGGCTGATTTCCCAGTATGCAGTTAGCACTCGATAAACATGATGGCATGCTCATTCAAGCCACACAATTATCATTCCACAGTTTAAAATACTCAGAGGCATTTCTCCGAAGAAGATATAGACCAACAAGCACATGAAAAGATGCTCAACATCATTACTCATTAGGTAAATGCAAATTAAAGCCACAATGAAATACCACTTTACACCCACTGGGATAGCTACCATTAAAAACAAAATGAAAAATAACAAGTGTTGGCAAGTATGCAAAGAAATAGGAACGTACATTGCTGGTGGAAATGTAAAATGGTACAGCTGCTGTGGGAAACAGTTTGACAAGTTCTCAAAAAGTTAAACATAGAATTACCATGTATCCCAGAAATTCTACTTCTACGTATAAACCCAAAAGAATGGAAAAACAAGTCTTCAAACAAAAGCTTGCATGCGAATGTTCACAGCAACCCTATTCACAATAGCCCAGACTTGGAAACAAACCCAATGTCCATCAGTGGGTGACTGGATAAACACAATGTGGTATATCCAGACAACGGGATATGAGTCATCCCTAAAAAGAATGAAATACTTATACATGCTACGGTATAGAAGAACCTCGAAAATATTACGCTAAGTGAAAGAAGCCAGGCACAAAATACCAGAAATCTTATAATTCCATTCATACGAAAAGGCAAATTCGCAGAAACAAAAAGCAGATTAGTGGTTGCCAGGAGCCGGCGGAGGGGGCAAGGGAGTGACTGCTGACGGGTATGGGGTTTCCTTTGGGGGTGACGAAAATGTTCTGGAACTAGATAGTGGTGATGGTTGCACAACGTTGTGAATGTGTTTTATGTCATCGAATTGTAGACTTTAAAATGGTCAAGGTGGTGAATTTTATGTATCATGAAAAAGACAAACGCATGAGAAACTGCTGTCTGAAATCCCTCAGAACCAGCGTGGATGGTTCCCAGGCCACCCCTCCTTTATTAAGTCATCCCAAGTCTTTCCTTTGATATTCTGGGTCACCCCTCCTGCCCCAAGAGGCTGAAGGCTGCTGCCCATGGTCTCTCCTCCTGTCATCCAGGCTGGGGACCAGGTGAGTGGCTAACTCAGCTCGCAAGGCCCTTTCTTGCCCCTGATCCTGGCCTCTTGCAGATACTGGGTGGACTACGAGACCCATCTGGTAGAGGAAAGTCTGACGGAGACAGTGGATTTGTCTTTTTTGAAGACTTCTGTCAAGAACTTCAGCACCAACATCTCAGAAGACGTGCATTTCTCTCTGATCCCCTCTCAGGTGACTTCCTTCATCCCTATTGGCTGGTTCCGGAATGTTTTCCCCAGGCGTATTTTTCAGAATTCTGAGAGACAACGGTCTGTGCTTGGTGCCCATCAAAACGTATCTCCCCCATGTCCCTTTAGGTAGGACTCTGCCACCTTGCTAATGAGTGCTACTGAGTTAGTTGGATGAGTGGATCCTGGTAACAGATTATCCGGGTCCTTAGGATGAGATGTTCGGAAGATCACTGAATTGAGCATGAGGAAACTGGGTTCTAGTCCACGATGTCCCACCACCTCACTAGGTGTCCTCTGGGAACTCTCTTCTTCTCCCAGGGCCCTGGGGTCCTCATCTGTAAAATGAGCTCTAAGGCTCCTCCAAAGCTTGTAGTTCCCATGAGTTCTTCTACTCAGAGGCACATCAGACACCGGTGAAGGCCACTTAGTGGTCCTGCAGAGGGCTGAACGGAGACAATCTGGGTTTACATTGGTCTGGATTCAAATGCCGGCTCTGCCACTTACCAGCTATTGTAACATTGGGCATATTACTTAACTTTTCTGAGCCTCAGTTTCCCCATCCGTAAAGTGATGATGGTATTGCCTACTTTCAAGGTTATCGGGGGAGCAAATGAATAATTTACAGGGAATGCTTGGCATGGAGAGAGTGCAGCCTCCTTAAGGATTGAAGCCGAGGTAGAAGGTCGGGCAGCGGGCAAGAGATACTTTTAGGTCTCTCTGGGGAAGGGAAGAGAAGAGAGAACACGGAGAGGGCCTTTCTCGACCTTTCATTATGTCACCCAATCAGCTGAGCCCTCTGCGTGGGGTATGTTCTGGCCCCAGAAATCACCCACAGGTCCTTTTGACAAGGATCTGGACTGGGAAGGAGAAAGCTGGAGCCCTCAGCTCCAACCCTGAGCTCCTCTATTCCAGTGCCCACGGGATGCTGTGAGGCAGGACCAGGTGGGATCCGGCTGCAGCTCCAGGGAACAGTGAGGTCAGAGAATGAACGAAATGTGCTCTGCAATTACCAGGGACATTTGTTTTACTATTTCGAGCAGTCTCAGCTTTTACAGACTTTGTTATTTGGAGCAGGTGCGGAAATCACATTTCGTGTGAATTCTTATGTCCTCCACCTCTGCCCTCGGTAGCTCCCTTCCCGATCGCTTCATTCTTTCTATTCATTCCCAAGTCAGAAGCCAGACACCATCACCATAATGCCTTGTAGAGCCGCAGGGGCTGTTGGGACCCTGGCCAAAAGCACGCCACAGCCGACCCTTTCTCGCATTTGCAAACTGAGCTCATCCAAGTGTGCTCTCTTCACAGCTCACTTTCAGCCTGACAGGTGGCCATGAGGCACCTCGTTAGCTCCATTCTCCACATGGGGAAAACTGAAGTGCCGTGACCTGTCCATGGGCTCACAGCCTGCACAGAGCAGAGCTTGGACTGTGCCCCCAGATGTCCTGCCTCTCAGGGCTAAGGTCCTCAGGTGCTGTCCTTCCACCTGCTGTGCCTCAGTTTCCCTTCCCAATAGGGGAGTGGCAGGACCTGTGTTCGGGGCTGGAATCCTTGGGTAAAGATGGAGCCACCGGGTCTGTGGTTACAGCTTCCCATGCAGGTGACAGAGGACGAGCACAAGCCCGCTGACAGAGTCCGGCTGCCCAGGAGCCTGTTCACGACCCTGCAGGGCAGCAGGGCGGCGGTCCGCTTGGCCATATCTGTCCTGGACATCGGGCCGGGGCATCTCTTCAAGGTGAGGAGGAGCTAGATGGAGGCTCAGGACAGCTCTGAGGTTCAGCGCTCAGTTTATCAGGCAGTGCTCGCCTTCTGTGGTCTTCCCTGAGAAACCCGATGAGGACAGAGGGGGCGACGAACCTCTGGACAGTGTTTCTAAAGCAGCCCAAGGTCATCCCAGACCCCCGTCTCAAGAGTAGAGTCTGTGAACTTCAGACTCGGTCATGCATGCTCAGATGTTTGGACCCCACACACCAGTGCCCTTGGACTTGTATGTGTAGCCCAAGTGTGTCAATGTCCCCTACATGTCCTTGTGCATGCACAAACATACATATCCTTTCCTATTCCTGGTGCATGCATAATCATGTGTGCTCTGGTGCATCTATGTCCACTTGAGGACATGTGCTAAGATTTTTGCAAATGTGTCCCATGGGTGTCCCCAGAGGCATGTATCCACTCACATGTGGACATGTGTTTGCCTAAGTGCCGGGGCAGTCAGGCGCTCATGTGGTCAGTGCTCACCTCCCGTAGGTGCCCACTGCTCTCCATTTCTGGGCTGACCTTTCTTCGTGCCCTGAGCCCCTCCAGATAAGAGGGCAGAGGAGCTCAGGAGGCCGGTGATGGAGAGCCGTCAGGTGGCTTTGGGACTAGTTGGCTGGGACTGCAGGGCCCACCCTGGCCCAGCAGGAGCAGGAGGCTACAGGGAGCAGCAGGAGTGTCAGCCATGATGCCTCAGATCCTTGGTCCCCGGTCTCAGACTTTGCCCTCCAGGCAAGAGCCATAGGCCCTAGAGGCTCCCAGGAACCCCCGCCAGGGTTGACTCGGGACAGCCCCTTCCTGTGGCCTGGCCTCCTCCACCTCCCTCTACAGGGCCCCCAGCTCGGCCTGGAGGACAGTGGCAGCGTGCTGAACAATCGCCTGGTGGGCCTGAGTTTGGGCCGTATGCGTGTCACCGGTCTGGCCGAGCCTTTGGAGATCACTTTCTCCCACCAGCCTCAGCCTCCCGTGAGTCCCCCGCCCAGGCCCGACAGCTATTGAAGGGCAGACAGGCGGGTGGGCACCCCCGGGCATATGGACAAGCATGCATGGTACTCTGCACCGACCCCCCCACCGTACATCCACCCAGGAGAGGTGGATATGGGCCATACACACAGTTGTGCCCAGGGACACATGCTCACCCTATGTGCATATGCCCATGTGCCCTCTGGAACCTTCCGGGGATACACAGCGGTGCACACAGAACCTGACACACCCACATGCATGCACGTGGCATTACACACCCACCCACAGCCTGTCACCATATCCACGCCCCTCACACGCTGATCCAGGGGCCATCGAATGGTGCAGTTGATGCTCTTGTGTGACCACGGGGTGAGCTCTGTTTTCTACTTAATGCGCACACGTGCTAAGATGCGGGAGCATGCCACCCTCTCCCTCTCCCTCCCTCCCTCCCTCTCCCACACTCTCCTTCCCCCTCTCCCAACCTCTCCCTGCCCCTCCCCTGACTCCCAGCCTCTGGTTTCAGAATATGACCCTCACCTGTGTATTCTGGGATGTGGCCAAAGGTAGGGCCCAGAGGGCCTCCTCTGGGTAAGACAGGCAGGGAGGGTATGGGCTCCCTTCTCGCCCTCTGTCCCCTTTTCCTCCTCTCTGGTACCCTCTCTTCCCTTCTTCCTCCCCACCCGTCCACTCCAGGGCCTACAGGAGACTGGTCTTCCGAGGGCTGCTCTACAGAGCCTGGAGCCAAGCAGACTGTGTGCCACTGTGACCACCTGACCTTCTTCGCCCTACTGTTGGTAACAGCCCATTCACCCAGATCTCAGCAGTTCTGAAGATGCCCAGACTTCTGTCCCCAGAGGGGGCTGCCTGGCCTCCAACTGATGAGGTCCTGGTTTGGGGTGGGTGTGGTTTGCCCACAGAGGCCGGTCTTGGACAAGGTCACCGCGCAGACCCTCACACGCATTTCCCAGGCTGGCTGTGGAACGTCCATGATCTTCCTGGCCTTCACGATTATCCTCTACACCGCCCTGAGGTGGGTGACGCCATCCCCACTCCCTCCTGTCCTCAAGGGCGGCAGCAGTGCAGGGTAGAAGGCCCCCTGGTTGCACAGCATTACACTGATGTCCTCCCCAAACCTTAGTTTGCTCATCGATAAAATGGGGTTGGAGGTTGAAATGTGTCGAGGCCATTTCAGTTACAAGTGGCAGAAACTCAGCTCACATTGGCTGAAACGTAATAGGGAGGGTGTGCTTCACGTGGCTGAGAAACCCAAAGTGTGCTCGCGTCAGGCACAGGTGAATCCAGGACCACGCTCCCAGGCCTTGGCCTCCCGCTGCTTCTCACAACTTTGCTTTCTCCTGTCAGTCACGCCGGGCAGCTTGTCCGCACTCAGGGGAAACCCCAGGCTTGCACCACAGCTTCTTGGCTGCCTACACTGAGTCCCAGAGCTGAAATCTTTAAACGTTTCTTTTTTTTTTTTTGAAATAATTATAGACTAACAGGAAGTGGCGAAAATAGTACATAGAATCCTATGGTTTCTTCATCCAGCTTTCCCCGGAGATAACATTTTATATAACCCAGGTGCAATATCAAAACCAGGAAACTGACATTGGTACAGTGCTACTAACTCGAATACAGACCTCATTCAGTCTCTTCCACTTTTTACATGCGCACGTGCACGTGAGTGTGTGTGTGTGTGTGTGTGTGTGTGTGTGTGTGTGTGTGTGTTCTATGCAATTTTATCCCATGGATATCAGAGTTGAGTTTTGCTGGTCCAACTTGGACCATGTGCCCATGACTGCACAGATCGCTGTGGTCACGGGATGGATCACACTGATTGGCCAGGCCACGTCACGTGCCTGCCCTTGGGTTGGAGCTAACTAATGGCCAACCCT